TCGGTGGTGGCTGCACGTGTAGTCTGATAAATTAAAAAAATGTCACCGGCGTCATTAGGGCGCAAGGCAGCGGAGCGCCAACTCCAGCCATTGCGCACAGATTAAAAACCTAATGGGATGTATGGAAAGAGAGGAAAAGGCACATTTACCCCAGACCTTAATGAAAGACAATCAAAGAAATAGAGGCCCGCAATGAATGAGACACAAAGCGGATCCATCCATCCCCTGCGAGACAGCAGGTGCATCGCCCTCAACCCCGGCGATGAATCATGGAAAGCGCAATGAAAAAACAAGAGCTGCACGACTCACCTAAAATAATCCAGAGCGACCCAGAGACCAACACGAAAGCGAGCATGTCTTTCTCATTGAGTCAGCTGTCCCGGTGCAGGAGCGGCTCAGAACTGCAGCGTCGACTCTGCAGCAAGTCGCCGACAATCTGGGAGATTAAGGAGGAGGGAGGGGAGGAGAGAGGAGGCGAGAGGGGGGAGACACTGCACATCAGTGGGAGAGCAGAGCAGTGGGGATGGCGGCGTCCAGCAGAGGTGGTTCATTCTTTTTCTTTTCTTTTTTGTAACTGTGCAGCTTTCGCCTGAAAAAACCCAAACGTGTTGTCTGAAGAAACAGACCCCCGGCGGATTATTGAAGCATCCCGTCCTCTCCCGGTGGATGTTCCACCTTCACCCAGTTGGCTGCTGCGCAATGGCACGACACCCCATGCTGAAACCGAAGGGCTCATAGGGGAGATGCGACGCTAAGGTTACCTGGGGATGGAATTAAAACTATTCTGGCTGCTGACCTGAAAACCAAAAGTCTTATTTTAAGTCTCATCATTTTACTGGAAAATAATGATTCCTGGAACCTGTCCCTGAAATCTACGTGTGTTCAATTTGATTTTTATGTGCGTAAATGTGCAGCCAAAGATTAGGTTATAGTGCAGGGAAAGGATGTCCCTGCATCTTTTCATATAGATACATATATTTAAAATGCTGACTTATTTCAGGAGGGCCTTCCCACATCACACCACTCAGCCTCCACATACCAGCTTCCCACAGGGTAATTTTGCGTCACGCTCACGTGGTACAACAAGACACTCCCATTGAACTAAAGTAACCTTGAGAAAGGCTGAGGAAGTGACGGAGGGACTGACTACATGCATGAGGCGCGCGCACACACACACACACACACGGGGAGGACAATAAATGTAGATGTACTGTATATGTATATGGTGGTGCATTGTGCAGCAGGGAAATCACTGTGTGGCTCACAGGAACCTGTGTGGTTCCATATAAAATTCTAATTGCCCATGTTGTTATCTCAAGCACCTTTAGGCTGATATGTACATACTACAAAAATGATTTTAGATTTGTACCGGCTGTGCTGAATAATATCCGACTCTTCTGTCTGTAGAATAAATCTAAATTTCATCCAACAATTATATTGTTTAAAAAAACAACATTTAAGGGCTACAACAGGCACATTTATCTGAATATAAAGTCTATATTTTCCCCAGCTATTAATTAAAACTCCTTAAGTGTCTCCGGAAGTGGCTGACGTGTCGACTGTCTTATTGTGCTGCTGTCACATCCTTTAGACGAGTCATTTGTTAGGATGTTTAATCTGTCACTTGCAGCTGTGCCACCCTTGACCTTCCTGCTCTTCTTTTTCATCTGATTCCTTGAGTCATTGTCTGCCAGGAGTAAACAAGGAGAGTCATGACAAAATTGGAATGAATTAAGGATTTCTTATGTTTTAGTTTCGATAGGTCCTATTCTTTCATAATAAACCGCCTGGACCTGCTCCATAAAAAAAGGGACAGACATATATCTACTTTCAACTACGCATCATAGCTGCCTTATCCTGCATCTGTTTGCTGTGTCAATTGGGCACATCCTCAGATATTTGGATGCAGTGCATACATGAACACTAGGGGCAGTGTTGGGGCATTACGTTGTGTCGCCATGTTGTTTTTTACAGACTGCAAATACGAACTATTTTCAGTCTGAGCTCCATGGTGTGCCCTCTAGTGGATTGCTCCAGTAACATGCGTAGTACACAAGTATGTTTACAATCGCGCTCGCAACGCATCTGGTCGTCTCTACGCAAAACACGTTGCTAAACAGCAAGTGTATCTCCGACCTGAGAGTTTGGAGCCATGTTCGCAGGGTTGCGAGGATGCACTGAGATACAATGCTGCTATGAGCTAAATGCTAATGTTAGCATGCTGATGCAAATCAGATGCTTTTTTTGCAATGCTCCATCATCTTAGCATGTTAGTATGCAAACATTTGCCAATTAACATTGCAAACAAAATACAGCAGATGAAAATATCATCATTCTCACAGAAGTTTTTAAACCCCCAAAAAACATTAAACGTATTGACTTGGACATGGTGCTGGATGAAAACTACAATTATTTCCGTTTATCCTGAGGTGGGTGGGAGGGGGAGAGGGAATGATGGTGTCTGCACCAAGTTTTATGTCTCTTATGTCTCCTATGTCTTTTAAAACCATTAATGTTGACGGTGGCACCAACATTTCCAAGGTCTCCGATCTTTTAAGTCCTTATGCTTTATCCTCTGGACACCATGAATGTCAGTATAAAAATGTCATGCCCGTCCATCAAAAATATGTCATTATTTCCCAGAGTGGAACAAATTGTACGGGTTTAAGATTTCAGACACACAAAGGCAGGTGGGTGCAGTGGAGATCTCGGCCTGCAGACGGACAGGCAAAACTTGAGACACATGAGAAACAGATGGGAGCAGAAGCTTGAGGAACAATAACACAACAGAGCTGAGCAGACAATCTGACAAAGAGGGAGCGCAGAAGCTAGTTGTGCGTTCGTGTGGTGTCAGAATAATCACAAGAATATGTTCATGACCAGGAAAATTCCCTTAAAAAGTCAGAAAAACAACAGCGAAAATTGGAAGAAGAGTTGCTGACGTCCCCACATATATTTAGAAAGCTTCTAATTGCAACTTATCAGATGTTACTTATTTCAATTTCAAACTGCATGTCCGTCCCTCTCAAAGGCCTAAGAACAGACGTTTTTATGCTCAGCATGGATATGATTGAAATGAATTATATAACCGTCAGTCCTGACTCGGTTCCTTTGCTCTGTGTTATTATTTAAATATTGCAAAGAGCTGTCATGGTATGTGAAACACCTCAGGAGTGGACAATCCCAACAGCAGGAAGGCAAGACAAAGACAGGAAGTAAAATAAAACAACTGACACTCAAGGTTAGTGATATCAAAATAAAACAGGAGAGTCCAATGAATCACCTCAGAGGGGCAGATCGTGACACCATCAGATTAAAAATATTTTGGGTGTAAAGAGCAATCGGAGATAAAGGATGATACAGAAGACTGCAAAAGGAAAGGAAGTTCAAATATTGGTTTTTACTTGCAAAAAAAACAAAAACCTGTCTGTCTGGTTTCTTTATCTTTCTGTGGGCAAGACATTTCTACAGCACTGAAAATACAGACGCCACAAGCATGACCCAGTGACCCTCTCTCTCCTCTCCCAGGGAGGGCAACATCTTTATGGCTGCTCTGTTAATCATTCACCATGAATGAAACACACAGAATGTTATGTCTCTGTTTGAGAAGAATACAAATTCTCAATAAACTCGTACTTAGCACACCTCCCTCTCCACCAGGTTGCAGTGTAATTGGAGGCGACCTAACGAGAGCTTTGACCTGATCCAGTGTCAGTGAGCTGTCAAAGCAGATGGTCGGGGGGGGATTGGATGCTCAAGCAGCTTGCCTCATGCCAAAGCCTCAAACTACTGTCTTATCCTTGCAGGTGGCCTAAATCATCGACATTACCCTCGGCGTGTGCACAAAGTGTGGAAAAAGTGCAAGGGAAGTTATCACTGTGGGTCTGAAAACACCCGAGAGGCCGGTTAGCAAGGGCGGCGCAAAGTCAATGACCCCTGGTGTTAGACTGAAAGGAATATCCCAGGATTAGGTGAGGTAGTAAATAAAGTAGATTTAGGCTGAAACATGGAAGTGGAGAGGAGGGTGGTTATCTGATGCTGTCAGTTACAGAGGATATAGTCGTGCAGTTGACGGATTCCTGAATGGGCCTCAACAGCAGACTCAGGGTCCCAAGAGGTTATTGTCATAGAGTCAATATTTGCTTGTCTCATGTCTGTACATTAAATGTAAAGGTTTAAAATGAGAACACACAGTAAAAAAATATGACAATGTGGTTGCTGGATATTGTTGAAGACATAAACAAATTAATAAAAATGAAAGATACATTTCAAATCAGTTGAATCCAACAGCTGCACGAGTCTAAACCTCCTACAGCAATGTTGGCAGATGGAACACGAGTCATTTTAGCAAGTTCTTATCACACTGAAAATGGGAATACAATAAAAAATACTTCAATTGAATGTTTTATTCAGAGGAAATGTTTTTGATGTGATATCAAATATCCATCCATCCATCTCAGTTACACCTGATTTGCATAAACTACTGAATGCTTCTCGTGTTTTTCTCAAGCTGTCATCCACCCACCATGTGCCAATCCAAAGACTAACAGGGTGGAGGATGATTTCCCCTGAAAATCCAAGTTTCTGTTTTACCAAGGGAAATTCCACCTAAGAATCGCCGGTGAAAATTCCGCTGGAAAACTCCCTCCCATTCCCTCTCCCTTTCCCTCTCTGTCACGAGTTCGGGCGTCACACCCATGGAGGGCGCAAACAACACTCAGCCACGCGGGACGTCCCTACATGGACCTGGATAGCTGAGACAGCACCTGTGTGGAGGTTTCCCTCATTCCCTTGGAGAAAGTGTGCGTTTGTTAAATAATATAACACGAAGCTGCTGCACGTGGGGAAAACAACCAGAATTCAATTGAAATAAAACATCCGGGAATCTGAATGTTCATCGTGCACTGTCATCTCCATTTGCTCCCTCGCAGCTTGGAGCGCGCAATCTTTCAAATGTGCGTATTTTTGGTTCAGATAAGAACGATCGTGTGCGTAAAAACCTTTGGCTCCTGTTATATTGAGTCTGTTTCCGGGTCCCTCTGCTGCTGCTGCTGCTCCACTGACAGGCAGCATGGCCCACTCTCATCCAGTCCTACACAATATCCCTGTAAAACACTGCCTCCTACCTGCGACATAAATTATTACAGCATTTCTTGTAAACGCCTGGTTTCTTAGCTGGGCTGCAGTTTATACTAAAGGGCTGCTCCCCTGCTCAGCGTGCACATGTTTATCGCGTCAGGCTAACTTTGGCGCTTAGAGCACTGCAGGTGCGTGGGTGTGTGAAGGGAGAGCTGGCAGGCAATCAAATTTACAATCAACAAATACACAGTACTGGATTTATCACTGCTACTAAAGTGAAAAAGTTATTGTAAATACATTTTTTAACCGTTTCCTATTAATTAAGTTTTCATTTTCAACATGTAAAACACTTTGTAGCTATGTTCTGAAAGGTGCTGCATAAATAGAGTTGATGACTATATAATGATGTATGATACAACATTTAACAGTAAACCTGAAATGCGTGGATATTTTATGTATTTTCAGTAAATTACAGCAAAAACAAAACATGCAAAGTTGTGCCATTTTGCTGCAAACATTTCATTGTTTATAATCAGAGGTGCCACATGTTTAATATGTGCAGAGTTACAGTCATTCACATGAGGGTGTACGTGCAGAAAGCACCCAGAGCTCATGTTGCTGTTGACTTCCTCCTTGCTCTCAACAGCATGATTTCTTGTAAACGGCTGAGGCGCTGAATTGAAGTTACAGCAGCGCATGCGCCATCCCACTGTAAAAAATCTCCTCTCCATCAAATGGACGCACACTTTTTTAAAGAAAAGAACCAGCCTTTCATAAATAACCTTGGAGCATTAATAACTTCATCTGCTGTCGTATTAAGAATTTTCTATTTTTCCTCAACGCTCCGTGAAGGAAAAATGATTTTGAGGCGACTTGTGCGCGCCGGGTGTGGACACTTTTTACAGCGGGGACCAGGGGAAAACCCGCCGCAGTTGAGTGTATAAAAACAGCAGTGCCTTTACCATCACTACTCAGTGTTAACTTCTGACCAGGAAACATCTGCAAGAGGAAAACACAAAGACAAGATCGAGAAAAGAAGGGAAGATTATCTGGAGCAAATAATCCAACCGGGCAATAGCTTTTGCGCATTCCCTCTTACGGATAATACAACAACCAAAGTTTGTAAGTGATCTTATACTAATTCAAGACTTTATTCTTACACTGAATGCCTCATAATGCAATATTGGTTACTGTTTAACTGAGATATTACATTTCATGTCTTGGATAACGTCTTTAGCCTTAATGCGTCATGTAGAAGCCCTAATGTTTGATTTTTGTGAATGACACAGAACTTTGTGTAGTGTAACTCTCGCGTATTCATTGAAGTTGTTTAAGTGATTTTTTTTAAGAACATGCATGTGTCGTATTAATTCAGAAGTGCAGGAAAGGAGATGTGCGCTCTCGCCAGCGCGGGGATCTCTTTGGCTCACGTCCGTAAACGCCTCCTTCCTGCATGAAATCAAGTCAAACAAAGTTTCATGTTAACCAGTTTAATTAGAGCGCGCACATTTTAAACTTCATTTCAAGACCTAAGCCATAAAGCTCCGATAAGGAAGTTACTTTTTTTAAATCTTGTGCGACCCTCCATTGACTCCCACGCGTAAACGCCCAATCATGCGACCCTGCGTGCCCCAGCCATGAACTCTTCTCGCCCTCCTGAATTCGCGTTTGGCAGGCAGCAGTAAATCGAGGCAGAGGCTCCCTCTCTCACACACACACACACACACACACACACACACACACACACACACACACACACACACACACACACACACACACAGCATTCCTAGTTTATCTAAAGACTTCTCCTCTCTGATGCAGATTTAAAGCGAGCATGCCTGTGTCCAGGATGAGGATGAGGCCGTGGCTAGAGAAGATGATTGAGTCCAACACCATCTCGGGGCTGACTTGGGTTGACAAGGTGAGAGGTCGATTTACTCCTGCAGTACATGCCTCGTTTAAACGGTACTCACAAAAAAAAAAACATTATACAGAGTACTTCATGTAGTGAATATCCTGATGAAGGAAGTTATAACTGCAGAGGGATCAATGTGTCTATATTATGTAAAGTTCCTTGCTTTGCATATTTGCACGTTACTCTCAGCAGCCTGTTTTTAGTAGTAGTAGGTTTGACTTTGTTTTGCACCTTCAACCCTGACACACACTGGTACCTCAAACTGATGGAAATAGACATCAGGAGTGAGACAGACACCAAACGAGTCCACGTTTGGTGTCTGTCTCACAGATGTCCATATAATATTGTGTACCAAGGAAATGGGAGAAAAAAAGAAACACTGAAAATCTCTTCCTAATACAAACAAAAAAAGAAGTTAAGAGTGCTTTGTTTCCTCTAGTGGCTCTAACTGTTTATATTTTCCCAAGCAATAGAAAAAATATCCTATGAGTTACAGTAGATGCTCAGTCAACCTCTTGTTTCAATATTTTCTCTGTTGAACGTGTTCCCAACACAGTGTGTCCTTCTATATTTTCCAGGACCAGAAGATGTTCTCCATTCCCTGGAAGCACGCTGCTCGGCACGGCTGGGAGCTGGACAAGGACGCCTCTCTGTTCAAAAAGTGGGCCATCCACACCGGTGAGCACATGCAAACAAACAGTCTACAAATAAAAAAGCAGATCAGTTGACTTTGTTTTGGATTTTTGTTAAAAGAATGTATGAAAGTGACTGAGCAAAATTCATCCTGCAGGGAAGTACACAGAGGGGCAGACCTCCGACCCAAAGACATGGAAAGCCAACTTCCGCTGTGCAATGAACTCGTTGCCTGACATTGAGGAGGTGAAAGACAAGAGCATCCACAAGGGCCAACAAGCCGTGCGCGTCTTCAAGATGCTGCATGTCACCCCAAAATCTGGTGAGTTACCAGACAGGAAGCGAGCAAGCGACTTTTGTCACATGGGTGTGCCTTTGCTCAGCGTCTGCTGCACTCTGATAAGTTTGATCTGCACTCAGCTGTTTGAGATGTCAACCAACCAAAATGTTTTTTTCCTTCATCCACACAGATAAACGAAGCAAAGCAAAGGTCACAAAGCAGGGGAAGACGGTAAATACATATTTTCTCACAGACAATGATTTCAAATTAGGATGTTATTGTAATGGCTTTTGTGAAGCAGCTAAACAAACAACCTAAATCTTGCTAACTCTTTAGGTATCTCTGCAGAACCCCATCAAGATAGAGGAAGACACAGACTACAGCGACACTCAGTCGCCCATGGATGTGTCGATGGCGGAAGAGTCCACCCAGGAGAACACGGTCGACAGTACAGTGCAGACAGAGCAGCAAGGTGAGGAAGACTGGCGGGATAATGTCCTCCGGTAGAAACATTACAGGAAGCAGTGAAAGCTGGAGAACTGGAGCGGGTTGTGTATTAAACGCTGCTGTTTGTTTGCAGTTTGTGATTTTGAACTTTCCACCCCTGACTGGGCTTTGTCAGTCGAGATCGAGCCAGAGAGCTTTCCAAGCAACTTTTGCCCGAGATTTCAAGTTTCACCCGACCACAGCCCCGGTAAGACATTAACACAATAAATGGTTAAGGATTTACCCAAGTAGCCTGAAATGTGGTAAATTCAATCATCACCATACTCATGTCCTCTCCCTTCTCTCTCTCTCTCTCTCTCTCTCTCTTCGATGGGAACTTCTAGATTACAGCTACTCCGACGACATTGTTGAGGTAAGCATGGACTTCTGCTCAATCTCTCAATAGCATGCAGTTTTCATTGACAGGAATACCCATGTTTGTTTTACTCTGCCCATTAGGCCTGTGCAATAATAATAATAATAATAATAACAATGAACCATGAGATTGATTGTTAAAAGTAGTGGCACAAAACGTAGCTGTACTCAGTCCAGTGTTGCTCTTTCAGATTTGCAAGCAACTGGAGAGAGAATCACACTTTATGCCGAGCAGTTTAGACGTCATGGGGTTCCTGAACAATGAACCATGCACCAGTCCAGGAAGCCATTGGAGTGACTCTTCCTCAGGTAAATGTAAATCTTAGCACTGTTCAGAACTACCAAAATGATCTCGGTCCTCCGTGTTACACCATTTCTCCCTGGGGCTACTAATAGTCACAGCTTGTATTCTCCTTCAACACACTGACCTTGTGTTTCCTCTGTTTATTTTACAGCCGACGAATTAGACGAATTGCCACATTACACAAATTTGTCATCAGAAACTGCCACTGATGCCCTCTGGAATGGGTTATACCATCAGGTGAACTCTTTGCTCTGAGGGTCCCAGGACAGGGCAGGGCGATGCATTGACACTGTGAACTTTACAGGCTCCTCCTGAGCACCACCCTTCCTCATCCTCTGGAATCACCATCATCACCCCTCCACTCTGTGACAGGTGGTGTCCACACTTTAAGCTAAAGCACGGACCCCTCCCTCCCTCACTCCGTCTTTCTATCCCAACCGTGTGTGCCGCCTGTCTGACGCCCGACGGCGGCTCCCTCATCCTTCTCATCTCCCTCATCTCCCTCATCTTCCTCAACCTTTTGAAGTTATGAAGAGAGGATGTGACGTGCACTGTTGTTATAGGAATTTCTGTTCATTATCTATGTTTTTGGCTGGTTCAACACATTTTTGATGCTCAGTAATAATAATAATAGCCTAGGCATCTTACTCAACTATAAATACATGCTCACCAATACGTACCCTTCAAAATAAAAATAGGCTTGCACATGCAGTTCACTTAACATTAAACAGGCTATAAATGTATGGTATCAAATGTGTCTTTCAGGTTTCTTTCCGTTAATGAGTGCATATTAGCGATTAGTCAATCAATCCTCTCAACCTCTGGTAAAATCCTGTCTTCATAATCTTGCAGCTGTTTTGCTTAAGGCAGTAGTAAATGGTTTCTGTAAATAGATGTTTTTGTCTTTGTGTTTTTATACAATAAAAAAAAATCTTGTACATTTTGGAATGAATTTGACTTTTTTATTCGTCAGGTATGTTTTATCGATTTACAACTGATTTGTTTTAGTTTGTCCATTTTAAAAGTTTACCAACAAAACCAATAAAACACAAAAGAGCTGGTTATTACTCAGCTGTCGAGAACATAAGTTAAATGGGCAGTAGATTATGTTAAAGCCTTACTGCCTTTGTTTGATTATTATTTAAAAGATATTCATTTTTCCTTCCTTACCTGGAGTTCCCCAATAATCCCCACAGTTTCTGAGGAAATAGATACAATGAACAACATGCACTCTCTTTAGCAACACAATACTCATATTATATTTGCTGTCAAATCAGCCTCATCTTGTCCTGGCTTGGATTAAACAACATGTTTGGAGCGTTCCTCTGAAGTTTTGCTTTGTGCCAACATGACGGCATCATTTCTGTAGATTTTCGTCAGCTGTATATTCTCCTGTTCGACCACATATCAAAGGTGACTGGGACACTCACTGAACTCTCACTGTTCACGAAACCACTTAGACTTACATCACTTTAAGACACAACACATTATCATGCTGGAAGTGGCCATGATGGTAAATTGTGGTCACTAGTGCAGTGCCTGTTCTAAACTTGCCTCTTCTTTTGTCCTGCAGGTGTTAATGCTCTGAGGCTACTTCAGAATTGTCCCTTGTAATTAGTGAGTCCCCCTCTAACAGTTCTACAATATATTATAACCAGTGTAATGCACACACCTAAGTGAATGTATTTTTGAATTGTTAAATGTAAACAGGACGTCTCAATTAAAAAAAAAAGGAAAATCCAGTTTCCAACCATAAAAAATATTTAAAAAATCATTAGTTAAAACAGAATACTTCATAATGGATTGTACAGTTTTATTATAACAAATAGAAAAAACAACACACAGACACAACACACAGACACAACACACAGACACAACACACTTCCTTATTCCTCATTATGTATAGTTTATAATTACAGAGCTTTTGTGGTCTATATTTACATGTTATTGAACTCAAAAGCAATATTTTATACTTAGAAAAGAACTGTGTTCCGGTTTGTGAATGTCAGACATGTGCTATGACAGCTGCACATGAACAACCATTTATGGTTTCAAACCACAGAATACATTATTTTCTGTACGTCCCCATTTTCGGCTGTTAGACACAACTCTTCCATCACGATCATCATGTCTGCTTCCTCCTCCGGTCAATGTCAATGTGGAGGTGGAGGCGACCCAGATTTCTTTTGAACCTCTGCAGCAAAACAAAGAAATTAAATGATCAAACATTGATTTCTGCCACATCACATAACAAATGTTTAACATTTCAGGGCACATCTACGACAAGTTGTGTTTAGTTAAATCATACCTGTGAAAATAAAAGAAAATAAAAACTATTTTTTTAATTATTATTTATTTATTGGCTGTTACTTCACCAGTCAAATTTAACCACAAGTCAGAGGTGACAAGTTCTGCCATAGAAATGAGGACAGACAGACAAACAATCCTTTCATTTGTTGCACTCAGGTGCTGTAAAGAGCAATGCAACTACAGCTCATAACCACAAAAGGAAAATAAAGGCGCCCACTCAATGCCAGTATAAACTCATATCATCATAGCAAACAGTCAGAGGTCATAGACGGAGTCACAGCACGATAAAAAAAGGAGGGCACTTGATTTATGGACATCTGACAACAGAACGTTTGTACGAGCTACTGTATCTGTGTAATACAACACAATGTGGGGGATCATATCATAGTTCATTAAGGAGCAGCACCTACACTGTAGTGAAGTCAAATGAAAATAATGAGCTGGATATTTGCAATCAGTATTTAATTAAATAACTCCCATGTAAGTACATTGCTGTATTTATTAAATGACTGACCGTCTCTAGTTGTCCCATACCTAAAAACTACATTACCCTTCTGGGACAATGGTAAATCTGTTGACATTCAGTGGTCATACAGTGTAACCCCTATGTTTTATATATTCATCAATAACGCTGCCATGTGAGCTTTAAGAGATTTTCCTACAGCCCAACCAACCAACCAACCAAACAAACAACTACCCAAACATTGCACTAAAGTTCACTCCCTCACAGATAACAGAGCAATCAACATGCCATGACATTTTCCATCGAGATCCAACGATTATTCTCTGAGTAATCAATGAAAATGTTGTGAAACATCTCACAATGTTAAAGATGGGTTCTTCCCTGATCCTTACCACGCAATTCCAAGTAACTATTATCTGTCAAGCAGTTCCTGTGTAATCCTTCTGAATATCAGATAAACAAACAGATGAGAACTTAACCTCCTTGGTGGAGGTAATAATGGGCTTCATCACAAAAGGGTATCCTACTATTCTACTAATAGAATTTCTTCCACTGTTTGAAAAGTTGATTTCATGGCTTTGCTAAAGTTCAGTGTGTGTTATCAGTTAGAGACAGAATGATCACACTATGATCGCTATTTGATCAAAGTACAGGTGAAGAGTGATGATTCGTACAATTAGTGAATCTAAAAGAACAATCATCTAGAGAAACATTAATTGTAGGATGATGCAGAATGTTAGAAATAGGTGTAGCCTAAAAATGAACAACCTGTGTAAAATGTCCCGAATAATGCGCTGATGTTTTTCAGAAATATGAACTCAGAAAGATCTTTATTGCCATTTTATTCACTAAAGATAAAATTGCAAGAGGCTTCTGTCGATAGTCAAAGATTATATATATATACATAGTAAATTGTTATGTTTTGTGGGGAGAGGGTAAGGGAGCAGATGGACCCAAAAGACAGAACAAAAGGTTTTCAACAAAAAGTGTCCTTTAATGATGAAGGTAGGCAAACAAAGCAAACAAACAAAATCCAAAATAACGGCAACTCAAAAATGCTCTTAAGCAAAAACCAGGGAGACACAAGGAAACACTAGAGACTTACAGCTACGTAAGTCATCTTACAGCTATGTAAGGAGACTTACAGGAACGATGAGTGGTGGAATGACACATGGGAAGACATGGTACAGCATCTCATAACAACGAACGGACAAAGACCCAGGGAGGCACAAAGACTCAAATACACACTGAACTAATGAGAGGGACACTGAAATGAACACAGAGGGGAACACTGAGAGGGACACTGAGTGGGACACTGAGTGGGACACAGGAGAGGGACACAGGAGAGGGACACAGGAGAGGGACAATTCCAAACATAAGAAAACACAGTCCATAATATAAAAGAGGACCAAAAACACAGGAGACATGACAGTAAATAATCAAAACAGTCATAGCAGCGAGTGGAAATTATATAAAACATAAATAACAACATACAGAAAATAAACACACACACAAGCACACGTCCGAATAATCTTGTATTTGTAGTTTTCAGCAAATGTATGTAAGTCAACAGGAAACATTGGTGCATTTGATAGGGGTTATTATACCATATTATATTACATTATATATTTTGCACTATAACTCAAGCCAAACATTTTTGTATGTGTTTGTGTTAATGCTAATTGCTTTGGCTACACAGATTGTCGCTCACAGCTATTGTGGTGTGATTTGGTGATAACAACGAGGGTTTCCCTTAAATCTGTCTCTGAGAAGTTGAAAAGAAATGGTGGCATACCCTCGCCTCACAACCGTTGTGCCCTGCCCATCCTCGCAAAGATGAGGTGGTTGACAAAACACACCTGGCATGAAAAAACATATAAATCTGTGGTGCTTTCCACTGATGGGGGTAAACATTTCACTGCACTAATTTTAATAACACACACCCCTGAGTCAGTTATGGCTGAAAATCAGCTGGAGTTGTTTTTTAGTAGTTGTGAAATGACAGAATTGTACGTTGGTGACTTCCCCTAACACACACACACACACACACACACACACACACACACACACACACACACACACACACACACACACACACACACACACACACACA